ACTGATTTTTGTATTTTGATTTTGTATCCTGCAACTTTACTAAATTTGTTTATTAGTGCTAATAGTTTTTTGTTGTTGTGGAGTCTTTAGGCTTTTCTACACATATAATAGAATCTGCAGAGAGATAATTTTACTTTTTCCTTTCTGATTTTGAATGCCTTTTCTTTTTCAGTTTTAATTGCTCTGGCTAGGACTTCTAACCTATGTTGAATGGAAGTAGTAAGAGTGGGCATCCTTGTTTTGTACCAAATCTTAGGGAAAAGCTTTCAGTTTTCCCCTATTGGCAATTACATTGACTGTAGGGTTTTCGTGTGTGGTCTTTATTGTATTAAGGTGAGTTCCTTCTATAACTATTTTGTTAAGATGTTGTTGTTGTTGTTGTTGTTGTATGTGTGTGTGTTTACCATGAGTGGATATTGAATTTTTTTCAAATGCTTTTTATGTACCTATTGAGATGACCACATGGTTTTTATCTTTCATTCTGTTAATGTGGTGTATCACGTTGACTGATTTGGATATGTTGAACCATCTTTGCATCCTAGGGATAAATCTCACTTGGTTGTGGCATATAATGCTTTCAATGTGTGGTTAAATTTGGTTTGCTAGTATTTTATTGAGGATCTTTGCATCTAAGCTCATCAGGGATATTGGCCTGTAATTTTCTTTTCTTGTGGTGCCTTTGTCTGGCTTTGGTATCAGGGTGATGCCGATCTTGTAAAATGAGTTTGGAAGTGTTCCTTCCTCTTCTATTCTTTGGAAGAGTTTAAGAAGGGTTGGTGTTAATTTTTCTTTGAATGTTTGGTAGAATTCACCCATGAAACCATCTAGTTCTGGGTTTTTCTTTGTTAGGAGATTTTGATTACTGATTCAATTTCCTTATTTATTATTGGTCTGCCTGGCATTCTATTTCTTCTTGATTCAGTATTGTATGTGTCAACGAATTTATTAATTTCTTTTAGGTTACCCAATTTGTTGTTGTATAATTGTTTATAATAGCCCCTTAAGATTCCTTTTATTTCTTAGGCATCCATTGTAATGTGTCATTTTTCATTTATGATTCTATTTATTTGAATTCTCTCCCTTTTTTCTTAGTCAAGCTAAGAGTTTGTCAATTAATTTTTTTCAAAATAACATAGTCTTGTTGATTTTTCTATTGTCTGCTTGATGTATTTTTGCTCTAATCTTTATTATCTCCTTCCTTCAAACTTTGGGCTGTGTCCTTTTTCTGATTCTTTGAGGTGTAAAGTTAGGTTTATTTATTTGAGATCTTCTTTTTCTAACATAGGTATTTATTGCTATAAACTTTCCTCTTATTACTGTTTTTGCTGCATCCCAAGTTTTGGTATGTTGTGTTTTTGCTTTTGTTTGTCTTGAGATATTAAAAAAATTCCATTTTGATTTCCTCTTTTACCTAATGGTAGTTTAAGAGTGTTTTGTATTGTTTACACATATTTGTGAACTTTCCCATTTGCTTATTGTTACCGATTCCTAGTTTCATTCCAAACTTCTAACAAAGTCCTCATTTATTATATATCAAGCAATTCCCCCTTTCTTCATGTCATGAGGGTATCAACCTGTTTTTTAAATAGATGCTCATTAAAAATATTATCCCTAAAGTTAACTTCTCTAATGGATTTTACCTTCATTACTTTTAAAAAAGTAATATATACCAATGGTATGTCCCACAGATCTAGTACAAATACTCCAAAAATGTATATGGAACCAAAAAAGACCCTGAATAGCTGCAGCAATCTTGAGAAAGAAGAACAAAGTGGGAGGGATCACAATACCCGATATCAGGCTATACTACAAAGCTACTGTAGTCAAAACAACCTGGTACTGGCACAAGAACAGGCAAAAAGATCAGTGGAACAGAACAGAGAACCCAGAAGTCGATCCAAGCCATTATGCTCAATTAATATTTGACAAAGGAAGCAAGAGCACACAATGGAGTAAAGACGGCCTCTTCAATAATGGTGTTGGGAAAATTGGACAGGTACATGCAAAAAAAAAAGAAAAAAAAAGAAAGAAAGAACCTACACCACCAACTTAAACCATACACAAAAATAAACTTAAAATGGATAAAAGAATTAAATGTAATTTGTGAAACCATAAAAATGCTAGAAGAAACTGTGAGCAGCAAAATCTCAGACATCTCTCGTAGCAATATGTTTACTGATATATCTCTTAGGGCAAGAGAAACAAAGGAAAAATAAACAAATGGGACAACATCAAAATAAAAAGCTTCTGCACAGCAAAAGAAACCAGCATCAAAATTAAAAGGGAATCCACTGTATAGGAGAACATATTTGCCAAAGATACATCTAATAAGGGGTTAATTTTCAAAATATATAAAGTACTCATATAACTCAACAAAAGGAAGACAAACAACTTAATTTAAAAATGGGCAGAGGACCTAAATAGACACTTCTCCAAAGAGGACATACAGGTGAGCAAGAGACATATGAAAAAATGCTCAATGTCACTAATCACAGAGAGATGCAAATTAAAGCTACAATGAGGTACCACCTCACGCCTGCCAGAATGGCTACCATCAATAAATCAACAAACAAAAAGTGCTGACGAACATGTGGAAAAAAGGGGAACCCTAGTGCACTGCTGGTGGGAATGCAGACTGGTGCAGCCACTATGGAAAACAGTGAGGAATTTCCTCAAAAAATTAAATATGGAACTGCCATTTGACCCAGTGATCCCACTTCTAGGAATATATCTTAAGAAACCCGAGACATTAATCAGAAAGAATACATGCACCCCTATGTTTATAGCAGCATTATTTACAATAGCTAGGATCTGGAAACAGCCCAAGTGCCCATCAATAGATGAGTGGATAAAAAAGCTGTGGTACATTTACACCGTGGAATACTGTGCAGCTGTAAAAGAAGGATCCCTTACCCTTTGAGACAGCATGGAGGGACCTGGAGAGTATTATGCTAAGCGAAATAAGCAAGTCAGAGGAAGACAAATATCACATGATCTCACTTATATGTGGAATCTAATGAACAGAATAAACTGACAAACAAAATAGATCCAGAGACATGGAAGCATGCAACAGAT